CAAACACCTGGGCATCACATGGGATTTCTCCAAGTCATGTCTTCTCATGCAAAAACCTGTCACTCTCCCACATACACATGCAATAGGCTTGTTATTAACACATCACACCTCCTTAAGCTCTCAGGATCCAGGTTCTGTCACAGATTCCCAGCTCCTGACACTCCTCACAGGTCAGCATTTAAATGCTCACAGCAGGAGCCTGCTTGCACCTGCTGCTTCTTCCTCCTTTCCCCCACTCGCCATCCTAGAGGCAGTGCTGGATTCAGCACTGCAACACAGGAGCAAAAAGCACCCTTTCCTTGGAGCTAATGCTGTGCCACTGCTGGGGATAAATGAGAAAAGCTGTTAATTTGTGAATGTGAACCCTATATACCATTAAGTTGAACTATGAATTCAGAGATGTGACTCACTGCATTTTATACTTAGACAGGGGCAGCTCGGGTTAGATATAAGGAGGAAGTTCTTTACTGGGAGGGTGGTGAGGCACTGGAACAGGTTGCCCAAAGAAGTGATAAATGCCCCCTCCCTGACAGTGTTCAAGGCCAGGCTGGACAGAGCCTTGGGGGACATGGTCTAGTGTGAGGCATCCCTGCCCATGGCAGGGGATTGGAACTGGATGATCTTAAGGTCCTTTCCAACCCTAACCATTCTATGAGTCTATGATCCCCTGCAACGGCTACAGAACACAAGCAGAGGCAGTGTGTAGGTACCTGCTCCCCTCCAGACCTTCTTCCTTTGTTCAGCTTGTTACTGACACCACACACCCAAAAAAGGGGTGGACACACATAAGGTGTTGAACGAGAGCAAGTTTATCACAAGGCTTGTACTGACTCACAGCACATTCAGATGATGCCATGATGTTTTCAGTCTGGTACTGAAGGATAGGATATCTTAGAGAGAGCCTAGGGCTCAGTGAAGGTGAGATGCATCAACCAGCTGCTTCTAAGAGTAAAAAATGGTCTGGGGGAAAGACCTCAGCAATCCTTTCAAGCTGTACTAGCAACACTATCTCAGCCACCACCTCACTGTATATCAGTCTTGCTGAGAACAAGACCCCACTGTGTAGGTTCAAAGCTGTAATGCAGGTCACTAAAAGAGCACACAATATGGATGTAACTTGTGACCAACCTAAAAGTGATTTTCATAACCTAAGAAGCCAGGCTAGGCGTGTCATTTCCATTTAAAAAAATATGCTGGCCAAGAACCATCCTCTGAAGAACTACTCTGCATGCAAAGGTGTATGAGGATCCAATTGATATAGGAGATAAAGTACACCTTGCAAAGAGACCAGTGCTGCGGGTAATGATGATTGTAATGAGAGATCAGCAGGGGATGTGGAGGAATAAAGGGGTTAGGGTGAGTTGCCAGGCTGCAGTTCAAGGAAGAAGCTTTGATCTAAGACAGAAAGAGGAAAAAAATTAAGACTCCTTTAGACTACATCAGCATGGTTTATTTATCAAGCTAGAACCTATTATGACTGCACCGATTGCTTTGAAGTTCCTTGGCCTATGTCAATTGTTTATTTATGATTCCATAAGTGAGTTATGACAGAAGTGCCAGCCTGGGAATCAGAGCGATTCCTAAGGGACAGCCAAAGTGAGTATGTTTTATGTGTTAACTGCGCAGTACTTCAGTGTGTGCTGTCAGGATGCACAGGTTTCCATTCCAAACTGGGCTCCTCTTCCCTAAGGGCTGAAAGATGTTGAGTGCTTCACGACAATGACACTAATAACTTGATGGAGAGAGGAAGAGACTGCCTCTGTAAAACCAGCATCTGTCAGACCGTGCGAAATCAGGAATGCCCAATTCACCATAGTAATAGGAACATATGGAGGCTGATGCTGCTGGTCAAGGGTGGGAACTGAGCTCCACCAGTGTCATGACACCAAGCAGCGGCAGTCACAAGTATAATATTATGTATTAAAAAAGAAAAATTATCTGGATTTCCCATATTCCAGCCACAGGGAAAACAAACAAAATACCCTCAATCCACAAGACGCAAACCCCATCACATTCAACCCACAGCAAAACTCACCTAAGCTGAGCCCACAAGAGATTGTGATCTGGGCAGCTCCTATAACACATCTGAAGGCTTCTTATACTCCATCTTCTGTCTGAATATATTTCAAGTATGCTGATCTCAGATTTTATTTCCCAACTTCTGTTCTTTTTCTCCTCAGCAATATATTTATCAAATATAACGCAATCATTAATGATCTAATGCTCTTTCCCACTTCTGGGGTAGTTTTTCACAGCACTATATATATCCACTCCTTCCCTCCTCACATTAGTTAACACTGGCATTTTCAATTCCGCCTGACCTTCCTCTTCCTTCCCCCAGCTTTTATACTGCAATCTGCCTCCACTGCTTCCATGTCTTCCATTCTGTACATGGAAAATCCAGCCATGGGAAACAAATACTCCGCTGTGCAAAGTCATCATTATCTTCTTCTTTCTCTCTTCATCATACTCTGGAGATGCTGAATATTACCAATAGTTCCAATTTCATATATTTTTAGATTTAATTTTGTTCTCACTCTTCCCTGCAATACAGACTGCACTTCTCAGGGAAGTATCTTTTCTGTTTTAAGCATGCAACTATTTCCATGGAGTTTGAGAAGCCTACTTATTTCTATTAGAGGTTGTTATCAACAAGGTATGAAGGATTTGCAAACTCTAATGACTGTGCCCCAAAGCACTCCTGGGATGCAGTCAACGAGTTTCTCAGTGAGGAGCCGGGGCTCAGGGAAGGAGGTACCTGATGTGTCTCACACACCAGAAGGAGCACAGGTCTGTAATCTGACAAAAATATTTAAAACAAAAAAAAACACAAACACAACGTAAATCACATGATCATTTTCTCTCAAACATTTTGTGTGCACTAATGAGACATCACTTAAAATACCTGAATTCTAACTGAACCCACATCATTCACTGATTTTGACTGGTTTCAGTGAGATGTTTTCTGCTCCACGAGTCCTGTTTCCAAGGCACAACACGATCAGGGTCTTCAAAGTCACTGGGTATCACACTAGATAGGGAAGCTGAACATGTTAAATGCAGCTCTTTTAATTGTGTCTCATTCAGTCTTCAAAGTCCACATCAGCTGCCAACTGCAATTTCTTCTGGGGTTTGAAGTACTTATATCCTAACTTCAAAAATATCTCTGCCACAATCCCCTATTGTCAAATGTTGCTCGCCAGCAATAGATGTCGGTAACGTGGCCCTCCCTTCTCTTCTCCTGCAGGTGACATAGCTTGACACCATGCTTGGTTTGAACTATGCCCACTAAAGTCTTCTATGGTAGATTTTAAAGTATTTCAACTCTCACAGGTAATTTTTTTCATATACCTTTCGTTACCATACAACATTTCAGTACATTGACACTTCCCTAATTAAAAAATAACTCCATCTTCAGTCTATCATTCTGTACAGGAGAAAGCTGCCAGAATTTAAGAGCCTTTTCTCCTCTCAGACTATTTAAGACTATAGTTGATGAGCACTGGCATGTCCAAACCCAGCATAATGCTTAGAGCTCGAGACATTCTAACATGCTAGAGTATAACCTTGAGTCCCACATCCCTGGTCATCCTAGACCTCATGTTTTCTGTGCTAATGGCTGGGTCTCCAGTATTCATCACCTCCTTTCTTAATTTATCTTCTGTGCTAGAAACATGTCTGAGAAATCTACCTTTTCCTTAACCATCTGGATGGCATGTGAAATCAGTCTGAGAAAGTTGGGGCTGTTCAGCCTGGAGAAGAGAAGACTGCGTGGAGACCTCATAGCAACCTTCCAGTATCTGAAGGGGCCCTTAGGGATGCTGGGGAAGGACTCTTCACCAGGGACTTTAATGATAGGACAAGGGGTGACGGGTTTAAACTTAAACAGTGGCAGTTCACTTTGGGTATAAGGAAGAAGTTCTTTACTGTGAGGGTGGTGAGGCACTGGACTGGGTTGCCCAAGGAAATTGTGAATACTCCATCCCTGGCAGTGTTCAAGACCAGGTTGGACAGAGCCTTGGGTGACATGGGTTTAGTGTGAGGTGTCCCTGCCCATGGCAGTGGCGCTGGAACTGGATGATCTTAAGGTCCTTTCCAAACCAAACCATTCTGTGATTCTATGATACACCACTGTTTATTTTCATAAGTAATTAAGGGAAGTCCTACCCAACCATCTCTCCCTTTTCCAGACTCAGCAGTGGCTCCGTGTCCCATCTGAACTCCAAGAAAGCAATTGGATCCTCCGTTTGTGATAGAGCATTCCAAAACAGCTCTGCTCTCTGGGGCAGTCTTGCAGAGTAGAACTGGTGATGAACCAGAATTCAATTATGTAATGAGAAATTGCTTTAATTAGCCAGTTAATTGCTTCAACTGCAAGAAGTAAAATTACCATTTTTACAAGGCACAATATATTTTTCCTAAGGCCTCACAGGACTCAGCTCTGCATTTCACTTCCCCCTCTAAACCCTGACTAAACCCTAAAAGGATCTGAGTGTGCTGGCATGCTACAGGAGGATCACACATTTAGTTACTGGTTCAGAGTAAGATGTGGGCCGAGGTGCAGAGAGCTGCACTAGGGTAACTTTCCTCTGGTGGAAAGAAGTCAAAATTAGAGACAGGATTTCTAAATTAATTGAGCTGCCTTAAAACTGACATCTTAGTTTTGTCCAAATTGGCCCAGCTCAGAAGGACAGGGACTTCTCGACACAAGTGAGATCTAAGATCCATGCAAATTATCAATGTATCTGCTCAAATATCAAAGAAGGGGTAGAGAGTACCTTGACAGATCTCCCAAAGACACAGTTCAGGGCCAGTAAGGCAAAGATGTAGTTCTAGATAACTCAAAGATGAGCAGGGGAAGCAATCAAGGCCACTGCACTGACCCCAGTCTGGGATTAGGATACAGCCAGTCAAGACCCAAGATCGATGGCTTGCTTTGGCTACATTCTGCCAGTTTCAGTTTACTGCAAGTTTGGATTTGGGAACCCATTTAATGGGGATGTATAATTGTACTCTGAAACACAAAAGTAAAAAAAGAGAATATGACTTGTGACTCAAGCAGTGCATTAGCATAAGGGAACTCCCTGATCTGGAACAGGAGGTATTGTGAGTTCAGTTAGTCACCAGACTTCACACACAAACGACAACCAAGCAGGAATAAAGGGGAAGACTGGAATGAACCATCAATCTCTCTGTCCCAGGACCCTGCACTCTGGTTATCTCCTGGAGAGCTACAAGGTCTCATGAAGAATACATCTCATTGCACTGAACCACTGGGATTTCCCCAAATCTCCCACCTTCTTTATCCTCCTATCCTGTTCCATAAGGCTTCTGTGACAAGGTTCCCTGTCTGATGCATCACAACACATGCCAGTGCCTGGACGTCTTAGCCATGGTGAATCTTCACAGAACAAACCTCTGTCCTTGAGGCACAGTCTGCCTTAAACAGCATCTTCCCCTTCACTCAAGAGAACTGCAGACAAGCCTTCAAGCAGGGCTCTCCAGCAGCAGCCACCAGTAATACTCTGTCAATGCTCTTGCTGTGCTTGTGACCTTCCATCTAGGAAGTGACCTTGGGTCTCATGCAATTCACTCACTTACCCACCTCTCTAGTCTTGCAGCAGGTCATCACCAGGAGGCAAATAAATATCCTAAATTAACCATGCAAAAGGCAGGCTGGTGACTTCTATGACGTTTTAAACATCTGTTTAATAGCAAGGAACAGAAACCTGGCTGAATGCAAAGCAGCAAGACACGTTTCCCGGGCGGAGTGCAAGATATGACAGCACTTTTAGAAAGCCAGAGAGAACACGTTACCTTGGTGAAAGGGGAGGTAAAGAGAATCAGTGGTGTGGTACCTTCACTGGAGCTCACACAGGATTTGAACAGGAATTGCAAACATTATTTAAAATAAACTCTTGGAGGAAACCTTAGGCATAATCAACAGGGAACATCTGTGTGTTTTGATTAGGGCTGACATCTTAAACTAAAGCCAAACGTTCTGGAATAACACTAAAATCAGCAGCAGTGCAGCAAGTAAGTCCCTGCTTTTGATGCAGATGCGCCAGGAATGATTTTGGCCCAGTGTTTTGCACCTAAAGCAAGAATACGTATCATCAGAATTATGCCTTTCAGGACTGGAGCAGAGGCAGCCACTCGTGCTGGAGCCTGCAATGAACACAATACACTTTTATGAGTGTTTAGGCAAATGGCTCCCCAAACAGGGCAAGAATCCCAGGTGGGATCGCAGATCAGATGTAATTCAACTGCAGCAGGGACACAGGCAGAGAAGTTCCAGAGCCACTTTTGTACACTTTCCACTGATAAAACTAACATCATAGCTCAACTAAAAGAGCAAAATCTACCAGCTTTAGAAACACAGTCGAGTGCAAAAAGCCTGGAGAACTGGCTTCTCAACAAAGCATTGGATTTTAAAAGAACCAGCCAGCTAAGGGAAGCACATGTTGCAATGGATGGCACACCAAGCCAGATAATTATAAAACCAGCACAGACACAGGAACCAGACCCTAGCTACAGAAGGGACCAGAACCTGCCCTATTCCCTCTCTTACGCTGCTGTCTGAGGGTCCTTAATATCTGTCTGGCACCAAAGAAGAAGAACCTTCCTCCTGGGACACTGTCACCGAATGCCCAAAATGTAATGCATAGCACTAAACCAAGTAAAACAGGCTTAATTACAAATTACTGTTAAAATACATGGCAGATCTTAGGCATTTTTCCTTTTTGCCTGATGACCTTCCTTTGTTAGACAACAAGAATGCAGAATTCCTGTGACAGAATTACACTCATTGCAGGCTTCCTTCAATTGAGAATACACTGTCAGGACCAATTCTGCACCATCTCAGTCCTTAAACTCTGATGAAACACAAGCTGTTCAGAGTTGTTATCGTCACTGAAGATGATGATAACTCCATGCTGCTGATATGAAGAAATTAATACATAAAACACAGAGTTTCTGAATTAAACATGATCTTAAACGAGATATTTGAGGACGGACTGTGGCAGGCTTTAGAAACAGTAGCGACATTGCCACAGAAGAGTTAGAGACTGGAATAAATGTCATGTGTGAGGTGGTTGCACAGAACTTTAAAATAAACAAAATCAAATTACCCATGAGAAATCTAGCCTGAAACTCTGCCCTGAATGTGGTCAGAAAGTTGCCTTTGTCTAACTCGCTCAAATCAGGAGTTACGCATTCAGTGCAAGGCTAAAAGATAGGAAGGTTTAGAGGATACAAATGACAGAGCATGCAGGGTAATATACAGAAAGCACTGTGCCAACAGGCAAAAGGTGCAGTGCTGTATGGACTAAAAAACTCAAGCACAGGACCTCTGCAAGAGAAGGGTGTTTCTAAGAACCGCTGCAATAACCTGGCAGACCAAAGATTCCCAGACAATCGGCATTCTCTGTGTGACCGGCAAGGGATTAACAAAACCCCTGCCCTTTAGCAGAAGTAATAAAGAAAGGAAAAATTATCTTAAGACTCTCAAACCTGGACAGATTTCTTCAGTAATAAGTGCATGCACGTACCAAACCAAGCCATAACCTAAACCAAAACAGCACTGGCACTTTTGTGAGAGAAAACCTACTAGATGATATGAACCTAAGTTGATTAATAGCTCTGTGGTATGGCCAGCACATGAAGCAGGCTAGTCCTCACCACGCTACTTAATAAAGTAGAGGCCCATCAGTTATGGGACAAGCCACAGTGTTTGAATATGCATGGTCAAAGGCCTCCATCCTCCCTTGGCATCACCTTATATCCCATTTTGGATCGAGCACACAATCTCTTCCCGTGTATACGCTCTTCATTATGTTTGTTCATATGCACCCACGACACACTGGGGCAGCTCCCCCTGAGAGACCCCAGGGGCTCCATCATTCCTCCCACCCTGGGTGCTAGGGCATGAATAGGCAGCAGCAGAGGAGCTGAGTGGTGAGGAAGAAGAATTACTGTGTGTCCAGTTTCCAACGACAATTTCTAAGGGAGCAAAGATGCTGGATACACAGACAGTGCTTTACACTTCACAGCAAAGCCCTCATCTGGGAAAGGAGAGCTGACAGACAGCCTTGTATGTACTGCAAGGGACCACACTCATGGAAACAAGGAAAGAGAAGCAAGCGACCCCTCCAGAGCCAGCAGAGCCGTCTGTTCATTTCCCTGTTTGTTTGCTCTTTCAGACTTAAACGCTTGAGCAGATTTACACAAGTAAGTGCACTCAAGAAGTGGGCAAACTGAATATGAACACTAGGCCAACTGGCTGCAGCATCCAAGGAACAGAAAGTAGTATTAATCCTCTGAATTGGATACCAAAGCACCGCCTGTGCCCCATGGAGCTTCCCAGTGGGGTCCCCTCCCCATCCTTCTGCAGAGCTGCCCAGCAGGGAGGCTGCAGGGCAGAGCAGCCAGGCAGGCTGCCTGGCTAAAACACACACAAGATCTGGGCACTGTCCATCCCCCTGACCCCAGCTGCCCTTCCGTATGCAAGGGAAGGACAATAGTTAGCAGGAGCCTAAGGCAGTACAGCAAGAGGAGAAGGAAAAGGAGACACTCAGAAGTTATTTGCACTTGGAAGTTTACCAAAGGAGCTCTCCCAAAATGCATATTCCAGAATAATTACTGCAATGGATTTCTTTAAAACACAACCTGCCCTTAGCTGGCCAAACCCTGGCCTACCTGGAAAACTTGCCTCTTCTAGAGCCAGCAGTCAACAGCTATCCCTCCAGGCACACTGTTTCTTAGGGTTACTTAAGGTACCCTGATGCTATAGCAGATCTGATGCCATTTGAAGTGCCAACAGCACAATTTTAGACTTCTAAACCATCAACTAGTTTGCAATGGGAACACTGCCTTCACGGGTCTTTGTGCATGTGCACACAAAAGAAGCCTAAGTGTCCAGAAATGAAAATGAGATTTCAAAAATGCTGAAATGATGCAGCTTGCATGTCCTCCCCTGTCTGTCAAACCCAGTTTCTTAGGAATATATTTATACAATGCCTAGACAACTGCTCATCAAACCAGCGCATGTTTTCCCAATTTTTGACAGTTAGGAGAGCATATATTTGTTCAAGTTTATTTTTATAGTGCTCAACACTATATACTGAAGACTGTAGTATGGAAACCAACAGCATTTTCTTCCACCCAGCTGTAACTTTTACCCTGCCTCAAGCCTGCATAGGAGGATGGAGAAAGAGATACCTATTCACATCTTCACATCCTTCTGCTTGCTTCATGCCGTTTTCATGCCAACAGAGAGAACAGAACTTCTCCTGTCCAAACAGAGAATACTAGTGAAAGACAAGCTGTTCTCTGAAAACGAACCATCTCCAGCTTTCTCTCAGACCAATGAAGTTACATGACAGATCCCCATCACTGACAATGACAGAAGCAGTTGCTTGAATTATTAATTCATGTAAAACTCAATTGAACTTGAAGATAAAGCACCTATACCTGTTAATCACTTCTAACCACCAGCATCTCCCAGATCTGTCAGCGGCAGCAGAGAGTTTGCCCATTTTGTTGTTCCTGGCAAGGATGCAGTAACCTCACCTGTGACTGCACACGACTGCTTTCAAGCGCTGATTTCAGGGGACAGCAGGGTCCACCCCTATCTTGTCCTCCTCATTTTCAGCTCTCTGTGCCAGCAATCAAGACTTCCCCGAAGTGTAACAGATACGACTGTATCCTCTACCTTTGCTTACTACAATCTGCAAATTCTCATAACTCTCCCTGCTTTCATTGCTCCAGGCATAATCTTGAAATATTTGTGCTGCCATAAATAGCCCACACTGCATTATCTGGATGATATATTTAAAACCAAAACAGCTATGTAGCAGTGCCAGCACACAAAAAGAGTTGTGCGATCACAGTTCTACTCTCTTATGTGTCCAACACATTCACCAGAGGGCAGAAGAGTTTTGTGGGGCAGATCAATACACATTATATCACCAAAGAATGCAATTCCAGAGCAGCAGAACATATAACTGCAAGCAGTACTCACAAGCACACAGATATTCTCACATATGGCTTTGCTCCGTTAGCAGTAACCTAGGCCGGTGTTTTAGAAACATCCTGCTAGTCTTATAAAACAACCCAGCAAAAGGAAAACACAATTTTTATCTCAACAAAACCCAGAAAGAATTTTAGACTTGGACTTCTTTTTCATCTGCAGGCTTTCTTCCTGTTAAGCGTTCCAATGCCTGCCACAAACAGAGGAAAAGGACATTAGCATCCTTCCCACAAACCATGGGAATCCTTTAAATTGAGTAGAAAAGCATTAGGCATTCAGAACAGAGGAACTACTGCTGAGTTTCCCTACAGCAGACTTGTAATGTTCTGCAGCCTTTTTGTCCAGCTGCCACGAGAGATTCTCCTTCTCTGCCCTCACAGTTCAGTGCCAGACAGCTCTCTGTAGGCCACAGCTTGAGCCATGCTACACCAGGCAATCCAAAATCATCAGGTGTTTCACACTGTCACCACTTCTGCCTTCACCTATCTGGGTTTTGCTTCCAGCAAATCTCAAGGCTGGGCTGTGATCCGACAGCAAATAATAACTTGGCTTCGGGAACAGAACTACAAACAGCTTCCTTCTGGCTTTTAATAGCTATTCCAAGTTTTATTTTCAAGTTTTGGCTTAGAGCTGTACCAAACACAGTACCACAAACGCAATTTTCCTATTCTCAAGGTACTTCCTAAGAAGGTGGAACATCAAGATACATAACTTAAGCCTCAGAGCCTATAATGCTCTGCCCATCCCTTCCTCTCCACCATGAAACACTCTCTGCGCTTTCCCCAGCTTCTGTCTTGCTGTCTCCGGTCCCTCAGATCTCCTCTTGGTTGCCAAGACAGTCTCCTGACACAGCCAACATCCATTCGCTCCATCTGCCACCAATGCGATGGACTCCACGAACTAAAGCCAAAACATCCTCTTAAGTTCTCACTGAGCTGCACTTTGTGTCCTCTCATGCTGCTCTTCAAAACCATCATTATCCCATCCGAGTCAAGTAGGCTCAGCCAGAACGGTCAAACCCCAGGTTGTGTTTTAGGGATGGATGCCCAGAAAGCTGCTGCTATCTCCTGAAGCAGGTGCTGGTGAATGAGGACATGGAATTCCCTTGTATTTGTCATGGCTCTGATTACATGACAGATGTATTTTTCCCTCCTTGAAAGGCAACAGAGTAAGACAGCCAAGGGAAAGAACACCTAATAGAGACCAGCAATCTGTAAATACAATCTGCAACACAAACTGTAAAACTCTACCCATCCTAAAGCAATACTGTAGTTGAGTAATACCAGCTTATCCCAACATGGCCTGAAGATGTGGGATTGCTTTTACAGCCAGAGAGTTCGTAATGTGGAGACCCACCTTTCTGTGCAGCTGCAAGCACGCAGCTGCTTCCACTCCTTACAGGAGCAAGGCTTTCATGCCCTTCAGCCAGGTACATTTAAACCAGCAGGGTTTGAAACTCCATGGCTTATTTTTCCTCAACAAACACAAGCTCTTAACTACAGTCTCATCAATACACATCACATCACTCAACTGAATTCAAGAAGGAGCACAGGATATACAATGTCAGCAGGAAGATCCAGCCAGAGAAGACACGATTAAAAAATAAGGGGAAGAAAAGAAAGTAATTAAAAATAATGGGGCACTTTCAATAATTCTTTTGAAGCCAAATTCAGTAGTTACTGGCATGTTTTGAAGCACTCACTTATAAAAGGCAATGAGATCCCAAAGCAAAGGACACTGCTCCCAAGACCTATACAGCCCTTAAATTCCTACAGCAAAATGAAATGAGTAGGTATACTGTCTGCCAAAGGGGGGGAAGCATGAAACTGAAAAGTCATTCTTCTGAATATGCACAAGTATGTGAGAAGCAGTAGAAAATCCAGTAAGATTCCAGGCTCTTACTAAAAGCTATTAATTTCTCTAGCCATTTCCTCGTATTAAAAGCTTTTCAGAACAGGACAATGTTCTGCAGTGACCACAAAGAGAATGCATCGTATTGTATATGTTCCTGGAACTTAAGCAAAAGGTCTTCTGCCTAATGCACAGCCAGGAAGCAATACAGCTGCTGAAAGTTACCCTTTTGGTTAACAGTAGTAAGCAGCACACGGAAAAGACAGACCATAGGACACACAGTGCACTGGGGTCCAAGAGAGTACTCTCCTCCCTGGGTCTCAGGCATTAGAGATTCCATACAAGTTATTTTTCCAGCTGTGCTAGCTGTTTGCCAGGTACAGGCTGGGAGACACCTTCACCCTCTCATGATCCAGGCTGGGCTTTCCTGAAAGCATCAGTAACGTACTTCACAGAAAAGAAAACCTAAAACCTCTTTGGGGATCTCAGGGTTCACTGGGGATCCCTGCAGTGCCCCACTCACATGGCATCCCACTTGGAAGCTATAAAGTCAGTTGGCTGTGTAAATAAGCGACATCATTGTATGGCTGTGCTGTAGGATTGGGGTACTTTTACACACAAACAAACCAAAAAACCCAATGCAACAACAAAAAGCCAACTTTAAACACATGGCGCCTACAGGCAGCACTAAGGACTCCTGGTAAAAGGACCTGTCTAGCCTGAGACAGCTGCTGAAAAAACTCCCTCACCCTACACCTTGCTTTTACTGTTGCTTTAAAGACAAACAAGCACAACAAACTAAGACTAAGATGAACAGGCTGGCATGTCTTTTAAACATCATGGCCCATCAGAAAAGGCTCATGATTCTTCACATCCCACTCTCTTACAACAATGACATTCCCCCACAGGCTTCCTCTCCGTTTCAGGAATTACCAAAATTGTGGGTTTGCCTTTTTAAGGCTCTGATGTTCTATGGATCAGTTGTAAAAGCCTCAGCTTCACCTTCAAATAAGAAGTCAATCACAGTTTGAGCCCAGAAAGGCATAAAGCAATGGGAGGCTATAGAATTTAGAGCCATCTGTTCCCACACCCTCTTCCTTTTGCTCATAACCAGGGAGAAGCCACCCCCAACCCCTCAACCTTATTTCCCCTTGGTTTTTCCAACCCTTTCCAGCTTACCTGGCTTCATCGCTTCCCAGGCTCCACCATGAACTTTCTATGCCTGTGGGCCTTTGTCCTCTTTTTCCACCCTCTCCCACTGATCTGTTTTATTAAACACACCTGCCTGCCCCTTCATCCAACTGTTATTGCCATGTGTGTTCACACAAATACCCAGGCACACATGCTGCTAGTTAGTGCTAACTATATTAAGCCACTACTCGTAGATGCACTGATGAGCAGGGAAGAAAATAACATCGTCTAGCTGGGATAAGACTTGCTAACCAAGGACTTTAAAAGCAATGCATCAACACTGCATTCACAAGGTACCCCTGGGAATCTGGGTCACCCTGTCACCGTGTGCTGAAAGTAGAGCCTCTAACAAGATGAGAAAAGCAAAATGGTTTTCAGCTCCTCGCCACCGCCACCACCAGAGCTGAAGGCAGCTTGAAATGAAGCAAGAGGCATAAATTATAAAGGCAACTGCACAGCTATGCATCCACAGAAGTTTTTCTTTCCTAGATGTTTTCTAATGAGAGTAAGTTCTCTCTGCATGATGCATTGACAGCTTTTGCCCTCAGGTAAAGAAAGCAGCATGACACAGAACCCAGTAAGACACTTGTTCAGAGATTTTGCAGGCCCCCCAGTCTTCTCTTTGCTGCAAAGTGTATAATACAAAAAGATTTCTCACCAACATGTATTTGCTTTTACTTCCCATTGTTTTAAAACACACACCCCCTCCATGGCCTTAACACTGGGCAATGTTTTCTTTACTGTCAACAACTGTTCAGAATTCCACATTAGTCATGTTGACAGCATTACTGTACCCGCTCCCTCTTAATATCTTAAGCACTAGAACAAGATTAAGTAATATAATACAAACAACAGCATGCATCCAAATTCCCAGTTCGGCTGAAGAAGCTGATGGAGCTGCCATGGTCTTAAAAACTGGGAAAATCTGCAAAATGCACGTAATGATAAAACATTCATTTGTTTGCCTTTCTTTTCACAGTTCTTTTTAAAGAGAATTCAGTGATTAATGTGCTGATGCCATTTTCTTTATAACCATTCTTCGGAACATCACAGTAATGAAGATCACAATAGAGATGCACAGCCGGTAGGAAACACAACCTAAATGAACACAGAACTAGGAAAAGCACATGTTCAAAATCACTCTGAAAACAAACTGATTAGATAATTAGTATATGTGCACATGTGTATGCATCTATATATGGATAGTCTTCTCCCTTATAAAGGGAAAACAAGAGCTTGATATCAGTATCTGAAGTACGTGATACACATTTTAACAGTGAAACACACAAAGTTAAGCTTAAATGGGAATTTAATCCACACCATAAATACGATAAAAAATCTGAAGTAAAGGTGAGATGCTTGGGATATTTTTTCCTTGCAAAACAACATGGTTACTAGATGACATGTTTCATTGTAAAGTTTGGACGGGTTTGGTTTCCCATGAGCTAGATTGAGTGTGCACACAAAGCTGGGCTCCCTATCCATGACGGATTTCAAAGCTCTGCTTTGGAGAATGTGAAATGTCCAGTAGTTCCACAGCACT